TGAATTTGTGCATTCATGATAGGATGGAAATGAATTGAGTTTTGTTCAACCTAAAATACATGGTAAATGACTTTTGATGACATTTAATAACTAATCACTAGTGATGGTACTCTAGATAATGCTTTACTAGCATGCAAGGCTAGCTACCATGCATATTGGTTTTATGAGTGAACGTATCATCCTAGCTATAACTTAAGAGTTCTATTTGAAATCTTTGGCATAAGAGATTCTTTTCTTGGATACTCCCACACGATAATGATGTGAGACCCTTCTCAATTTATGACTAATAAGATTGGACATATGAGATTGACTTGGGAAGGGTTAGAAGCATATTACACTGATTTGCTCTTTTAAGACTATAATGATGCTATATTTTGATTTTATTATGACTGAATAATGGATAATGACTTATGATTTTTATTTGAAATGACTTGTGGTTTATCAATTACTAAAGGCGTAAGGGTTTGCAATGAGTTAAAGACTATTCCATTTCTGTAAGATTAAATACTTGTTTTTATTAAGGGATTTTGAAAATGATTTTAGGGATTCTAATTGGTCAATAATGATGTCAAATCCATTAACTTCAAAGATATTGAATCCCGAAATTACTCACAAGACATTGCCAATGTCTAACATATATATCTTGACATGTATTCAGGTTACTGTAATGAATAAAAGTCTTAGATGAGGACTTAGATTTTAGAAGATCATAACTGTTGTAGTGTTTTATTTGAACTCTTGTAACGATATTGTATTGATCCACCTCCTACTATCTAACTTTGAATTTACCAAACATTTGAATGACTCTAAAAACAATAGGTCATACTATTATGCAAATGACAAGTTTAAAAATATAAAATGATTTTAGATTGATTCAAACATTAGATCTAAAAGTGTTTCAATGTTGTTCTAAATTCTTTGTTTTCCGTGTTTTAAGTTTTCTCTTTGCATTAAGTAGTTATTTCATAAAGTACTGTTTGAAAAAATGGTAATCTAGTATTAAATCACGAGAATTTACGTTGAAGCTTACAACCATAGAACAATGTACAATCTTCAAGGACATGAGTTTTTCCGTGCAATTACCATTCAAGAATCTACAATCTTTAATTTGGTTTTAATTTCCTATTATGCCTTTTAATTCGTCCAACAACTAGATAACATTTTTTTTACCTTTCTTATAATTAGACAAGGTCGCAAAGGATCAATATGATTTATGGATGGAACTTTGTAATCTAATAATAATCTGATTTATTATTTTTACCGAATCAATAAATTATTCTCAATAATATTTGTCTACCAGTTTGCATGTAATATTACTAACAGTTCAATATTAATTCACAATATTAATCATAAGATTGGTTGTTTGTCAAATATAAAATACAGCACATTGGGTAACTAAGTCCACTTATACATCATTGTGGTATGACAACGACATTGATCTTTATATTGCCTACATTGATGTTTTCCTGAATGCACGAACATATTTAAATCGATTGACATGCTTTCCATCAAAGACGTTGTTGGTAAAAACGGTTTGCCTTCTCGTCCACTCTACCACTTATTAGTCTATAGATACTTTTACTAACACTCGCCTACTCGTTTTCAGTTTATTGTCTACAAACTCAAGCTGGGTCATACCTTTTGCCCACTTGTGTTTAGTATGCGTTCTTCTTAAATGGCTTATACAAATCGACGACTCAATGTTTTTTAGCCATCTTGTGTTTTTCCTTATTGATCAACTGATGCACCTATATGAATCCCAACGGTGATGAAATAGTTGAAGACTCTTACCTTTTGGTAATTGTTATTGTTTGGTAGATGTTTAGAAGTTTATTTTGATGGATAAAGTTCAAGTTTAACTATGAAACTCGGTTTATTTGAATAAACTTCAATAAAGTTGTGATATATTTAAGTGTATGTGACAATGAATATATAATTGTTCACGTTTATCACTTGATTTGTGTATTTCTCATTATTATAGTTTTTAATTCAACGCTAATCCACAGATAATATTTTTAGAAAGCAATCAACCGGGAATTTCATTGTCATTAAAAAAAAATCATGGAGTCACGTTATTAAGATAATCAAGTAAGCTCAATCTTATAATATTATTCTCTTATCAAATTGAAAAGCGCCTCCAAAATATTTTTTTTTTGTACATAATCATAATCTTGGTGCATTAATTACTCATATCATAGGAATCTTTATAAAATCATTTTCTAATACATTTTTCTTGATACGATTTGTGGATATTATTATTATTATTATTATTATTATTATTATTATTATTATTATTATTATTATTATTATTTTAAACAGCCAATCATATATAAAGAGAAAGAAAACACTCGAACAAAATACTAGAGAGCAAAAGAAACCATTACAAATTGTTTAAAGAGAACTGTAACCAACAATCCCACCGTAAAACATGATTTCTAAATCTATTAATAACCCAAAGAAAAAAGAGTTCACTAATATAATAAAATTAATATGGTTTCTAATCTTACCACCACCACCCACTATTGTTGGTACAAATTGGAGTATTTCCGTTTTCCTAACATATGACAAACAAACCAAACAAAATTCAATGTAATTAGTTTTGAGTTATTTAGTTTAGTTTATCGATAGAACTAAATAAACCGAGCAAGATATTAAACTATGTTATACCCGTTCGATAGACACTAGATCAATGTAATAAAAAAATATTAGTTTTATTTTCTTTTTGTATCATCATTTTGTAATTTATCTCATATAAATAAATTTTGTATTATTATTATTATTATTATTATTATTATTATTATTATTATTATTATCATCTAGACACAACTATTTAAATCAGTTTGTTGAATGGATTGGTCGATGAAAAAATATTCTATAAAATTTCACTTAAATTATAATATCACTTTCTTTATCCGATTGCGAAAACAACATCTTACTTCTTTCGAGTATAGCATCACACTTCCATTTTTTTATATTACAACATCCTACTTTCTATTACAACAACAAAAGCAAAGTAAAATTGTTTAGAGTTTGCAATAATATCAATAAATTCACATTGTTATAGACTCCAACATATGGTCGGGAATCTACATGTTTATAAATTTGATCATTTGATTACTAATAGTTTATATATATATATATATATATATATATATATATATATATATATAAAAGGTCATAAAACCAAAAAAAACATTAAAAAATCAAATATTATATGCATGTTAAATTAGTTTCCTTTAGAGAACAAAATTTGTTTATTGCGATGATTCCATGACTCATTTACACCCTAATTATCATTGCAAACATTAGTCATCAACTCCCAAAAACCATTTTCATTAGGGCTGACAATTCTCGATATAACCCGCAACACAACACGAAATAAATGAGTTTGGGTTCAGTTTTTCAACCCCTCCAATCCGTTTATTAAACGGATCATATATGAGTTTCTAAAAAAAATAAACGGGTTGACCCGCCAACCCGTTTAGATTTTTAATAAAAAAATATATTTTATTTTTAAATGTAGTTATGTATCAAGTATTAATATTTAATAAGTATTATATAATATATATTCCATTGATTCATACACCACTTGAATTATCTATGTTTGTATTAATGTTTAGTTTGAACATCTTTCTATGAATATTTCTAATTTTCATTTGGATGTTTAAAACTTAAGTGTCTAAAAATCGAATATGTTTGCATCAACCATTAAGAATTTAATTATGTTTAATTGTCAACTCTAACCCATAAACCCGCCAACCTGTGAACCCGTATAAATAAATGGGTTGGCGGGTCATATATGGGTTTATGTTCCAAACCCGTCAACCCATGACCCGTCAACCAGTGACCTGTATATTTAAATGGGTCGTGTTTGGGTTGGCATATTTTGAGCCGTCAACCCGCCAACCCGCGACACGCCAACCCGAACACGACACGATTGTCAAGCCTAATTCTCATGTACACAAGAAATTTCTAATATTTATTCATAATTTATAAGAAACTAGATTATGATCCGCGTTAAACGCGGGGAACATAAATTAAATACATACCACATTAATAGGTAGCATTGTCTTAGGTGAAATTTTAATAAAAAAATATTAGTTAGATTCATTTTTAGAGTTTTTGAACCAAACTTATTAAATAAAAATATTTAATATCTATATTAGAGCAATTTGGTTTTTTAATACAATATTTTGAAACATAAATGATCCACGTGATCTTTGTTTTATCACAACATGATGCAACTCTTTGATTAAAACATGTTGCGTAGTAGGGTTATCAATTGATTTTTTTTCGGTGTACCAACTCCCATGTAGGCTCGTATAGCTCTTCTCATATTATCCATGTAAAACCAAAAACAACAATAAGTTGTTATATGTATCAGCAACGTTAACACCTTGTTCCCGAGTTTCATTTAAAGGAAAGAAAAGAAGAGAAGAGAAATGTGGAGAGAAAAGAAAAGAATGGAAAGGAAAGGAAAGTGTATTTTGTTGTTCCCGAGTTCGAGAGAAAGGAAAGGAAAATTATTGTTTTTTGTGTTCCCGAGTTGGAAGGAAAAGAAATCAAAACTAAAAATGGACAATTATACCCTTATCACATTTTTCCATAATTTCAAATATATACCATACGATTCTCTTGAAAACAAAATTATGCTCAAACTATTTTTTTTTGCCAACTTTTGCCTACATCACGACTTCTTTAATTATTTTTTTCACTTGATTATTTATACAAAAATCATTAATGCATAATTCATTATTAATCACAATTCTAGTATGTTCTTCATTTGCATAACTTTTTCAAACAAAACCAATATGAAGGGAAAATATACCCAAACCAAAAATAACATAAATGTATGAATAATCAAACAAATTTATAAGAAACCAATTTAAAGTCAATACAAGAATAATCAAACAAATTCCAATGTATGAACTCAAACCAAAAACCAAAAAGCATGAACTCAAACTGATAAAAAAAATCAAAAAACTATCATCCTAAGTAAGTCATTTACTTGCCCCCATCATTTTTTTCAACAAACTTTTTCGTATTTTAAATGGAACTCTAAATAATGTCCCCGCATCGGATTGATTTCTCGACAAAAACATGAGATCTTCTGATAATTCATCGGGTTCCAAATCCATTGGCTCTAACTCTTTATAAATTTCATCACCAGTATAAACCCGATGATGAGAGTTTTCGAATATTTTGTTACCCTCCCTCATAGCAGAAGGCACATCTTTAACTGCACTCATAATAACCTTTTCAAACGATTTAGGTTCAGCTTCAAGTTCATCTTCATCTTCAATTTCATGTTTCCTTTTTTTACTTTTGTACTTCTCAGAACTTGAATTTTGCACCGGTGAAAAGCATGTAGGAGATAACACTTGAATATCATCAAGACCTTCATCATCATCATCTTCATTATTTTTTTGTTGTTTCTCAAGTGTTATGTCATTGCTTGCTAGTAACTTATCCACTTCTTCGATTGTTTCTACTTCTATATCCCCAGTTCTGTTCAATCGAGCATTCTTCTCTTTCGGGGTTTCAGCATGCACCCCCGAAGCCCTATCCTTTGCAAACAAAGCTATCATTTCATTGTAGTTTGGTATTTTTTTTTGGACTTCAATGAAATTGCATCTGGCTTTGACTGTAACACACAATCCCAAATACAATTATTGTTAAGAAAAATAACATAAATGTATAAAAACTAAGTAACATGCAATAAAAGAAACTTACATTAATTAGGTTAGCCCACACTTCCTCATCCGCTTCAATTAGTTGTGTTTCAGAATTCCAACCGAACCCACTCAATGAAGTTCCGCGAAACATGTCATACCATTGCGAGAAACCTAATTTTAAAGTTTTCAAACGATTCTTTAAATGATTTTTTGTTAAACTCTTCCCAAACTTTTGATTCAGCTCCTCCATCATGTTGTTGTACGCTTGTGGGATGAAGCTCCCACTAATCCTTAATCCTTTCTCATCTTGTGTCATCATAGATTGAATAAAACAATAATCCATCGAATCTGTCCACTTTATTTGTTCTTTCTTAGTAACTTGTTCTTCCTTCATCATTTTGACCTACATAACAACATAAATAATCAAACCATGCATTGATAACATAAAAAATACATACTTAGAGGATGTACAAATAATGAGTAAATAACATCTCCAAAAGATAAATAACACAAATAAAGTCAAAACACTAACGATTCATACAAAATCAAGTCAAACACAAAAGATCCATACAAAATCAAATTGAAATGCTATAATAATAACTAGTTGCTACATTGACATATCTATCTCATTGTTTTGATTTGGCAAGTAATTAGTCCACATTTGATTTGCAATTAAGTTCCTTATTCGCTCTGCCACAGCATTACTTTCACTTGTCTCTTTTATATTATGGTGCATTTCCTCTCTTGGTTCATTTAACATCTCCTATAGGACCTCATCTTCAAGATTTTTGTCTCGATCTTCTTCTAACAAAAAGTTATGTAAAATACAACATGCCAAGAAAATGTCTGACTGTGTTTCACAAGAATAAAAAGGTTCTTGTGTACTTCTAATGAAAGGAAACCTTCTCTTTAGAGCACCAAATGCCCGCTCTATAGCGTTACGTAATGAAGCATGGCGGAGATTAAACAACTCTTTTGCATTCTCAGGGGCCCGAGCAGAATACTCCTTCAAATGATATCTGACACCACGATATGGTGCCATTAGTGTAGTTGTATGAGGCAAACCAGCATCTACCAAATAGTATCGGCCTACAAATAAGTTATAACTAGTTATGTATTAAAATAAGATTACACATAAGACTAATTTTGGTATTAAAAAATTACCATTTGGAATTACTAGTTTATCTTCTCTAGTGAGTGCATTCTTTAGTATCCTTGAGTCTGATATTGTACCCTCCCAGCCACTTAAAATGTACGTAAACTTTAAATCAAACGTACAAGCAGCTAAGACATTTATCGTAGGGTATCCCTTGCGACCACGATATCTAGGGGCATCTTTGGTAGGTACTTTGACACGAACATGTGTCCCGTCAATTGCACCTATACAATTCTTGAAGTAAGGATAAAATCGTTTTTTTTCCTGAATTTCTTTTTGTACAACGTCACCTTTTGGTTGTTGAATATAATGACTTTCCAGTGATATAATTGCTCGGAGAACTCTATGGAAGCACCTACTTGTAGTGGATTTAGAGCGACGGTATAGCCAAGACACAAATCGATTTCTAAAATCATTATCGACAATGTGCAAAAATCTTGCAACATGCTCTTCAACGGACATGCGTTGAGTAGCTCGAAGACCACCAACTTGTTGTAAGATAGTGCACAATTTCTGAAAAGCCTGCTCACTCATACGGATAAGTTCACGGCATTGTCCACCATTTGAAAGGTCGTGTAGCAACTGTTCACGTATACGTTGTCGCTTTAAAATAAGCTTTCTAGAAGGTAATTTGGGATGGTTTGTGTTGGCAAGGGCACGATGTGTCAAAATGGCCATCAACAAGCAAATCAGATGAATTACTTGTCTTTGCCTGACTCTGAGAAATTGAGCAGGTGTTTGTAGCTCACTATCCATCGAAAAATGTTACCTATTGTATGTAAGTGTTATATAAATTAATCTAATTGTCTTATTTTATTATTTATTAATCTAAATTGTTTTATTTTATTATATACTATTATAATAATAAATTACCTTTATAGTTGTTGAATGATTTTGAATCAATACATATTAAAATCAATTTAATATGTTTTACTTTTATATAATGTAGGTAAACCAACATTAATAAAAACACAAATTATGCAAATTGTTCATTTACAACCAAGGGTAAAATAGACCAAGAAAAAAAGATACAACCAAGGGCAAAAAAGTCCAACAACTTATGCAAATTGTTGTAATTACATAAAAAAGGAGGTCAAATAAGCAAAATTATACTAAACAAAATTTTGCTAAACAATTTCTAAACAATTTCATCCAAAACAAATCAACACTCACTATCAAAAAAACGTGAATTTATGAATTCGGCCTTTTTCTATAACAGGTTGATTGTTCAAATTTATGATTGGTGTTAGTGTTGCTTTGGAACAAAAGACAACATAGCTTTAGTTGTTTATCTATTCCAAACAAAACATGCAGTTTCATGAAGTTTAATATTAAGATATGTATTTTAAATCTTCAAGATAACTTTGAACAGGTTCTTCAAAGAAGGCAGGGAATGATTTCTGGAGGACTAACCATTAAAGAGTTAAATGAGTTGCTTGATCGGTTAGCATCAAGTGAAAATAGGTATGCCCATGTCATCTATTTACCAAAATACCCCCATCTAATAATTATTTATCTCTTAACACAGAGCAGAGAAGATTTCCATTCTCTTTGATCTGAACGTATGTAATTGTTTCCCATATCTTGAAGCAGTAAAAAAATGTAGCAGGAAAATTGTTTAAAGCAGAAAAAAAAAAAAAAAAAAACAGGAACACAGTGTACAATGGAAGCAATGAAGCAGAAAAAATGGAGAAAATTGGAGTGAAGAAGATGAAACCTGATAGCAGCAGATTGCAAGAGTCGCTCATGGTATGCAGAGGTGGGAAGAGACGTCGCTTGTGTGTTGTATGTGTGAAGAAGTCGCTATATAGGGGGTATATTAGGAATACATTGAAATGTATCTCCTCACGGATTCTCTTCTCTCCGAATCACTCCAATTTGGGAGGAACATTAGGAGAGAAGTTAATCCTCCCAAATCCTTTCCTTTCTTTCTGAATCATTCCAACCAATTAACTCGGGAACACGATCGACACACACTTTCTCTCCGATTCCCTCCCTTTCTCTCCAAATCGCTCCTTAAATTCCTCTCGGGAACAGGGTCTAAATTCCACAAAGAAATTCGATAAACATTACAATTAAAGTGCATTGTCATAACTATAAACATCAAATTCAAACATTGTAATTTGATCAATTTCTAAGGTATTTTTTCTTTATAAGAATTAAAATATGATTTTTATAGGCTACATCCAATCACATATACATATCTTCTGATCGAATAAATTATTAGGAAAAAAAACATTTTATGAACAAAAATATAATCTTAGTTTCATAATTTGTCAAAAGTTAATACTAATAAATAATAATGAACTTTCACAAATCTTGCATTTTGGTCACTGAATCCAACTAACAAATGAAATTCAGTTTAGATGATAGATTTAAGAAGTGCATCCATGACTTTTTGTAGTTGATTTTAGGAAAATGCTAAGACCTACTGAGTTATGAGGGAACGGTCTGTGAGGCTACGGTTGGTTTATGGAGGGCAATACAAATTCAAAATCATTAGCACATCTTTCCTCCCTGCTTCAATTTTTAAATTTAGATAAAACTTGTCAAAATGAAATTAAAAAAAAAAAAAAAAACAACTCAGATATGTAACCTACCAATCAAGCACCATATTTTCTACTGAAATAAATATCATAAATCTACAATTTATACTTTATATGATATTCTTTAATTATATCTTATTTTTTCATCTTTAATGGTCACTAACACCTCTTTCTGTCTTATTTTTGTGACACGCATCTATATCGAAAATAAGATAAGAACTATAAAGAACGAATGTTGACAGAGTGATCTTTCATTGAAAACGCAACAAAATTTTTTATAGATCCACTAGGAATCTTTTATAGACCGCTAGAAGGTCTTTATAATGACAATTGTATGGCATCTATTTAAAGTAACAGTTTTGATTAATGTAAGTGAAAAATCATTTAGAATACTTACTGGTTGTGATTGTTTCCACTTGGATGTGAACATTAACATTCTTGTAGAGAAGTGGAACTTCAAATGAATCTTACATAGCCAAATCAACAAACATGACAACACAAAAGAAGCCCAAATTGTCATATAACTAAATTTCCAAATTTCAAGGTTTCACTGAACAATTTTTTCAATTTATCAAAATTGTATTTTATTACAACCCTATATGAGTAATCAAGAATCTTAAAAAATGAAAGAAGTAATTGTTCATTTAAAGCCACTAAAAAATACAATATTGTGAAATTACTTATAATTTACATGTTTGTTTATTGTCCTGGAGGTACCACTTGGACATGTACTATTATTTGATTAATTAGTGTATAAATTACATTATAGAATATGAAATTCAACAATTATTTAAATTCATTTCCACTTGATTTAACAATAGAAAATGGACAAATTTATAATCATAAAACTATGCTTAACTCAACAAATTTGTTATCAAAGTTAATGGAAATCTTAGTTTCTTGAAAAAACAAATCAAATACACAAAAACGATATAAATAAAAAACAAAGAATGAAGCAAAAAATATTTGAAGATCATGTTAGAAAGGTGTGAGCAATAACATCTTTTTGGCACTTTTCAATATAGTCATGATTAATGTTTTTTTATCTTTAAGATGATCAGTACAAGTTTGTAGAGAAAACAAATTCATAATCATAAAAATATGTTTAATTCAACAAGTTTGTTATCAAAGCTAATGCAAAATATTTTTGTCGAAATAATCAATTATTAAATATGTAGGATATTACCATTAAGGGATTTAGAGTTTTGCATCATCATCAAGCTTCAATATAAACATCAACTAATAATGATCACTTTCAAATAAAATTTTCTGCAATTTAAACTTAATTATTGTAAATCTAATCAATAACATTATAAAAAAAGGTAACGTTAAGAATAAATATGTATGATTATTGAGTTAGATAGTTGGAAATCTAGCGATTGTAATTTAACATTTATAAAACCAATTATTACTTATAAACCTACAAGTATTTACTATATTAATAAGATTTGAATGCAAGGTGATTGTTTTTCCCTTGATGATTTTTGGTACCATCAGTGTACACTGAGAAAGAAATTTTCAATTTTATATTAAGGATAGAGGAAATTGGTGAAGGTTAAAGCAAAAACATTGATAGACATCGTGTTTGACTGAGAATTGGTCAAGATGGCGTAAACAATTTGATCTAAGGGTGGAAAATATATAAGTGAAACACAATCAATTGTCTTTATTACATTAGATGATGAAATAAAGTTTCTATTATAAACATAGAATTCACTCTTCTATTTTATAAATGTAAACGTCATAGTCTTCGCCTCTCTCTAGCGTCATTATAATAGTAAATTGAGACATATTATTCTTACTCTCATGGTAAATTGAATTTTTGAAACATTAAGTTGGTCTATGAAGATATTGTTACTTTGAGCCATGTTTTTGTTTGTGAAAAATTAATGATTGTTGAACACATGTGATTCAACCAAGTAATATAGACCGGGTAAAATAGACAAAACATGAAAATTTTAAAATCATAGGGTCCGAGTGAAAATATAGTTTTAGGGACGGAATTTGTAACTTTTACATAACTCAAGGATGCCGAATGTAATTTATTCTAAAGCATATAATGTAGAAAGTATTTTGTATGTAATCAAAATCAAATTAATTGACTTTCTTATTTAATGAGTTTTAAGATTAAAACCATTATCTCAAACTGATTCAATTACGTAGGATATACTATGAGACAAATTATGAATAATATTGACTTTAATTTTGACTCTAAAATATTTTGCTGATTTAATGAGATTATGTTAGATTTTATAGGTAAATAACCGAATTATTAATATGCTTATTTAATGGGTTCTTTCATAAAAAAAGGCGCTAAACGGGTTAGAATTTTGAAGGGAAAAATTATAAATAAGGCAGTTAAATTAAGAACAATATTAATTAGAAAAACTGATATCTCGTATACAAATAGAATGATATGCTTCAATTGATAACATAATTGTTGCATTTAAAAATTCCAAAATTAAATGTAATTGTGATTAAATTCTATTTGGTGAAAATGATATTCACAATTTGATCTAATGGTGAAAAACATAGGATTGAAGTACAATCAAGGGCCCAAATTGCTTTATTGGTGAATTAAGGATTCTCGTTTAATAATATTTAGAGATAGATATGAATGAAACTAATATGCTTAAAGTAGTTTGATTAATTTTTTTCATGACCTCTCAAACATGAATATAGTATTAACATATAATAAGAATATACTAAATGCAAGAAATTGGAGAAAAAGAAGGAAAAGGAGAACATTGTAAATTGTAGAACCTGGAAAAAGAATTGGAGAGAAGACCACTAAAGAAGAACATTGTAAATTATAGGACTCAATCCATAATCATAATAATAACAACTTCAATGTAATCATATATATAGGGTGTTTTTGAATAAATAAATTATTATCTGCCAAAAAAAATTGGAATCCTAAGATATCGTCTTGGGGATTTTCGACTATTCGTCTGGAAAAAAAAATATAAGTTATATTGATTTAAAATTTAAAATTAATTGACTTGCGTAATTAATTAGTTTTAAAATTCAAACTATTATCTCAAATTAATTCATTTTACGTGGGATATATTAAGAGATAAATTATGAATAATATTTACTTTAATTTTGACACTCAAATATTTTGCTCATTTAATGGGCTTGGATTAGATGTTATAGGTTAATAACTGAATTATTGATATATGCTCATTTAATGAGTTTTAAAAAAACATGCTAAACGGGTTTGTATTTTGAAGCAAAAAACTATAAATAAGGGAGTTAAATTAGGAACAATGTTAATTAGAGAAACTGATATATTTTATATAAATAAAATGATATGTTTCAATTGATAACATAATTGCTGAATTTAAAGATTCTACAATTAAATGTAATTATGTTTGAATTATATTTGGGAAGATTATGTCAGCAATTTGATCAAACGATAAGAAACATATTATTGAAATACAATCAAGGACCATGATTGCTTCATTGGTGAATTAAGGATTCTGTTTTAATAATATTTAGAGACTTGGAAGTATACAGTAGATGTTCATTAATTGGAGGCAGTAATGAAAATGTTCCATATTCGGAATCCGAATATTCCACTTTCCATTCATAAGGATATTTTAATTGTTATAATGATTTATTATGGATTTTTTAATTATAGATTGTTAATTTAAGTTATAGTCCGTTAAAAATGTGTATTTGTAACTTGGTATGTGTTACATCAAATTTTGAAGTTAAAATATGTTTATATTTTAATTGGTTGTTAGAATATGGACATTTTAAGTTAAAATAGATGTTGTTATGCAAAATATGCTAAGGTATTGTGAAAATATGTTATTTGTGTGTGAGATTGGTAATATGTTTTTCTTATTTTTATTATTTGTTATCATTATTTTACTTTCTTCTATAGCTATTATTTTTCATGTGCTCCTATATTAACAATGTACAATGACGAATCTACCTAACACGTAATTGTTTTTTTATTAAAAGTTGAAATGATATTTTAAAAAATCATCTATAAATTGATATAAAAAATGTCATACAAAATTTAAAATTTTGATTACAAGTGTTTTATGAAGACATGTGTAACTCATATTTATATATGTATATAGACTAAATTGCACAAATGGTCCCTATGGTTTGCTCAAAATTGTCACTTTGGTCAAAAAAAAGTTTTGACTAGCATCATAGGTCTAAAGTTTTTATTTTGTTGCAAATTTAGTCCAATTTGATTTAAAAATATTTAAAATGATGGATTTACCCATGGTACTTTCTTTTTCTATTTTTTTATTTATTTAAATGTTTTTTCTAATTAAAAGAAAAATAAAAAAGAATCTCTTTCTCTCTCTCTCTCTCTCTCTCTCTCTCTCTCTCTCTCTCTGGACGCAAAGAGTACAAAACAATCACCATGTTCATCTTCTCTAACTATCCCTCCCAAAAACCCTAAAATCCATAATCAAACCCACATGGTGGCTGATAGATACGATGAAAAATCAAAATGCCCCAAATCCTCAATTTTTTTTGTTCTTTTGATGTTCTCTAATTCCACTCCTACTGCAAGAATCTTTAGGGTTTAGGACGATGTTCAACGAACAGATCGAAGCGATGTGCCCTCCATCTTTCTCCATTAAAGCATTCTACATTCTAGGGTTCGAATCACCCTCTCTTTGCGGTGTGATTTTACCAGATATTGAAGCTTGCCCCGACAACTTTGATTTAGGTGTGATTAGGGCTCGAAAACACTTAATTGGAGCAACAATGATAGCGTACCTACAACTCAAAATTCGGATGACGGGAATTGAACATCCTCTCCGGTGGAGATGATGAAAGAAAAAAAATGACGGGCCTTTTGATTCCTTGGTTTGGCCCTTTTCGATTCACACGAAAAATAGCAATGGGGACTTACATAGTAGCAGCAGCAACATAACATAGGTGATCGATGGTGGTGACCAAGAGCAGCTCTACGGTGGCAGGAGGTTGCCTGGCAGCCTAACGGCTGCTTCTTTTTGCTTATGTCAGCAGTGGTCATCGGAGGGGAAGAGGTAAGAGGTAAGGCAGCAGGTTGGAGGGTTGTTTGGGGGTTGTTGTGTCACCGGAAGAAGGAGAGATAAGGGGTTGTGAAGTGGTGGTGCACGATGGCAGAAGGCGGTAGTGGGGTGACGAGAAAAATGATGGAAGGGAGTGAGGAAGTTCTGAGGTATGTTGGTGGAGTGGTTTTCGATCTAATGAGGGAGGTATATGGGTAGTGTGTGGTGTTGGAGGGAGAGGGAGAGATTTAATTTGAAATGTTCGTTCATTATACTTCCAAGCAGCATAAACTCTAAAGGGACATGGGTCTTTTTTATATATTTTCCCACACCTAGCAATCACTCTATACTTATCACTCTTCATAAACCACAACTGATATCCATTAGCTACTGCATAGTTAGTTAATGCAAACCTGAGTTGAGAAGGGGATTCATAACACTCTCCCATTACAGACTTCATTTGTTTCCAATGTATGTCTGGATCATGAACCCTATACTCTACACCTACTTCACCATCATTTTGATCATCAATATGATCATGTTCTGGATCCTTAACACCAACTTCCTGATCATCATCTCCCATTCCATCAAGAGTCCTCCTTAGCATATTTTCATCACATAATATGTTAAGGAATGGGTCATCAGACAGGTTTGAGGTTGGTTTAAAGGTCTTTGGTGCAAAATCCAGGAAAGAGAAATCTATGAGATTATCATCAAAGTCCTCGTCCCTTACATAAACCTTTTCAGGCTCTTTCACCTTTTTAGTTCCAGATGATGAAGCCATCTGTTCAAGATGAAAAATTATACTTGTAAGTGACACTATGGAACTCGATTATGTAAGATAAGAACACACATACACATCAATTTCTTATTGGCACCCCATGTACCTTTCTACTTCATTGATTTTCAACTTCAAAGCCTTTTCAAACACTTCTTCTTCCTAAGACCAACTACATGAAACCCTTTTTTGGTGCAAGACGTTTCTGTGAAATGTGATATTTGGTGGTGTACGAACGATCGAGTAGTATAGGAGAGTGGTGACCGGCTGCGTACATTGACCTGTTGTTAACCAGCTGATAAAACGATTTTGAAACGGGATCACAATTATTTAGGCTAATTAGACACAAAAAATCCATTTAGGGCTAATTTAGAATTGGGGTGTAAAACTTATGTCTTTTATGGTATTAACCCTTTAAATAATAATAAAACTGAAAAAGAAAAAAATAACAGCGAGATAATCATTATGAAAATTTTTATAGAAAACTGAATCAAACTCGTAACGAAATGAAAAGTTTGAACCTCTGGTGCTACTCCAAGCCTTTTTAGATCAAAACGACAATTTTAAGCAAACCACAGAGACCATTTGTACAGTTTTGTCATGTATATAACACTTAGGGATTATTTGTGTTTTTTGAAGTTAGGAGTTTAACGGTTATTTAAATTTTATTTTCTTAAAAGATTTACATTTTGTAGTATATTTATATTTTCTATTTGATTATGAACTTATTTTTAATATGTTATCTTTTATATTATCATGCTAATTAAAATAAAATATAAGTATGTAATGGTTGGAGTGATAGTCGGTTTATTTATTTATTTATTTTAACATATTTAAACCAAAAAATGTCTATTCAATTTGGTTTTCCATTATTAATAAATACTTACAATATATTTATCAATCGCGATTTAAGATAGTTAGCAAGTCAAAAAAGATGGACAAGTAGATATAGGTAGCGTATTAATTTATTAGATCATGGTTTTTTGGTTTAAACTATTAAATTTGTTATAAAAACTGGAACATTGTTTCACAGAAATAATAAGTTCAACAATCTTGTTATTTAAATAATAATATAAGACAAAACTTATAAATAAATTATATCTTAAATTCTATTACATATAATTAAATCGTGAAACTAAGTTAGTTTTTCTTCAAAAACATTAAAAAGAACACAATAATATCAAAAAATTAAATAAAAAGTTTAAGGGTTTTAAATATAATTTTTTTAGGAAAAAAAAAAGTTTGATACAATTAATAGGCAAAATCACATATATTGTCCCCATCATAGTCTAATCTTTCATCATGCCTTATTCCATTTATAGCATTGTACTTTTATTGATTTCTTTATTATAGCATCTTACTGTTTTCTTTTTTATTATAGCATTGAACTTTTAAAATGAAAATTTAACAACCAACATAGTAATGTGTTTTTCAAAAAATCAATAGAATAACAAAGGAAAATCTTAAAAACAAAGTAAACAATCAACCTAAATCATTAAAAAAAACTGTTTTAATCTTTATCCAACTATTAAACCAAAAAAGAGTACCATCGAAGCACATAATGCTATACTTTAATCCGGAAACCAATTTTCTTTAAACCAAGACCATTTTCACAATTAAAAACAATTTAATTGAATGCCCCACTTGTGTCATTTAACCGAAAATAAACCAAACACTTAGAATCCTTGGGTTTGACTCTGCAAGTCTCTAGCCAACACCATATTATATATATATATATATATTATATATATATATATATATATATATATATATATATATATATATATATATATATATATATATATATATATATATATATATATATATATATGTGTGTGTGTGTGTGTCAGTCAGCCTTTTTCCATAATAGAAAAAGTTCACATTTACCTTCTAGGTAGACTCCTATTTACAACGTTGTTAAGATTAAAGGGCCTATTGGTGGTACCAAATACAAATACACATTCTCTATCATCTACGCAAACTGTCCTTGTTTACCATAGACTTAATTTTTTCATTTTTTACATTACTTCATGCTCCACTGGATTTTTTTGTCTACTCAAAATCTTAGCCACCTATATTAAAAACATAATTTTTTAAATAAATAAATAAGAAAAATCATCTGAAAGTATGTTGTTTGATTTCACATCCATATGTATGAGATAATTGCCCTAAAATTAGTGAAGATATGTCAAATATGGAGAATAAATATATTTATTTAGCATTATTATAATCTTTTGCTTATAATTAAACAAAACTTTACCTTGAGGAGAACCTAGAGCTCTTCGTTTGGATATCGTATTGTTCTTTGCTGCAAAACCATATAACCTAATTTCAAAAAATTAAAAATGCTACTTAAAATTTTATATATGGATGTTGGGTCATCTTTAAAATCTTTCTTTTAAATGTCCACGAGCCATGGCCTAAAGAATGATTATAGTCTACTCATCTCATCATATCATATCTAAGTTTACAAAGCAATCACATATAGATCATCTCTAATTATGTTTAGGTTCTAGGTTTTAATGTGAAAAAAAAAAAAAAAAAAAAAAAAAAAAAAAAAAAAAAGTAGCCCTGAGGCATGACTTGAACTAACACCAGAATTGATACCCAAAATTCCATATCCAACATAGTTGTTGTTCATCATAAAAAATTCCCAATAGTACACCACGCGTACTCAGCAGATGGGCTTTGGGCTTGCATTCTAGGTATCGGTCATAAGTTGGGGTTTCTTCATTTAGGCGATCGGACTTCTTCTTTGGACTTTTGGCTAGTGTTTTGGGCTCCTTTGGTTTGGGCCATGATGGGCCTTATGCAAAATTTGGAAGATTGGAGCATATTTAGGCTTTGAGTATTCATTTGGGATTTGGGCCTTCATAGTAGTTGAATTGGGCCTAGGCCTTGGGCCAAGTTGGATAAAGGGTAAAATTGTCTTTTGCCCTGGTTATGGGCCCAATATATTAGACTGGTGGTTATGGATTTGACTCATATTAATAACTGGATGTTATTGGTATTGATAACGCGGGGATTTATCGGACCAGCAGGCAGAGATTTATCCGAGTGATTCAACGGTTTGAGGTGAGTTTTCCTCACCGTGTTTAACGGGTTGAAGGCACCAATTCTAACCCATGGTTTATTTTGTTAGGGTGCTAGATGTCTGTGTGACTCTTGCATGTGTATAGGTTTGTATGCTTAGTGGGCGGGGCCCAATGGTTATTGTGTATGCTATTACTCGTCATACTTGTATGTTTGTATGTTGAGCGGGGCCCTTTATGCGAGTTAGGGAAAGGCTCGTTATCCTCAGTGGGTGGGGCATGTTATGAGAGTTAGGGCGAGGCTCATTATACTCAGTGGGCAAGGCCTGTTATGCAAGTTAGGGTGAGGCTCGTCATACTCAGTGGGCGGGGGCCTGTTATGCGGGTAGGTTCGGGGCCATTACTCATCCGACATAGCCCATTATATGTTTGATATGTGTGGTATGTGGTATTTGGATGAAACTCACTAAGTTTCATACTTACGGTTTTCGGTATATGTTTTAGGCACTTTTGGTGCAAATGGGAAGAGTTCGGGGTGATTGCAGTGCACACACTATTTTGTTCCGCATACTTATGATTACTCTAATGTTTTATGATCTGGATGAAACATTTGGAATTTTTATGGTTATGATGATGTTTTAGTTAATTAAAAAATTTTTAAAAAATGGTCTATCATTTTCAAAAAATAACACATTAAAAAAAATACCCCATTTTCTAGATATAATCGTTTTTTTTTTTTTTTAATTTTCAAATTCTATACACTTTATCTTTCACTATAAATAACAACATCAATTTTCATTCTTCACCACATTTAAATCTTTTTCATTCTAATCTACTAACCTTCTTATTTTCCATCTTCTTCAAATTCCTTCACTAAAAACGGTTCATGTTTGGTCAACTGATGAAAAGATCATATTAACTAGTACATGGTTCATGGAACATAAGACCCAATCAACATTAACATTACTATGACTACTTTTTGGGTGTAGAGTCGCCGAAAGATCCAATCACGAATCCACTCTAACTTGAAGTAAAGATCAAGTATTCTCTAAATAGAGACATACAAGCACACTTTTAATTCAGTTTACGATGTGTTTAGTAGGGTGATGAGGGAAGTCGAGCAAAGTGAAAATGAAAATACTTTGTTTGTGAATTCTCTTGAGACTTTCCGTAAAGAAACCAACAAACATTTCCGGTATGTTGAGTTTTTGGCAAATTGTGAGGCAGTACCCCAAATGGCATCCACTTTAAGCTTGTTGTCTTTCTAATTTCTAGTTGGTTGTGTGTTTTAATTTCTAGTGGTGTTATATGTTAGTTTAATTTCAAGTGTGCTATGTTTTTATTTCAAGTTAATGAAATTTAAGTTTTAATTAAAATAATTTGTTTATACTGATTTCTTTATATAAATTAAATTTTAAAAAGATTAGCATGACAAACGTGACAACCCACGTCTTGTAAGACTAGAGGGTATGGAGCGGGAAATGAGTGATGAAAGTTTTCCCACACCTCAAAGCACCATACCGAGGGTGAGGAAAGATGAGTGCGAGAAAAGAGTGAGGGAGTCTATTCATCACTCTTTCTCTCCTCGTCTGATTGGTCAGTCTTTTTTTATTATAGTATTTTCAGTTTTTTTAGTAATTATTAAATTATATACCTACTAAAAAATTATACAAATATATAATATATATATATATATATATATATATATATATATATATATATATATATTCATGATTTTTAATTCCCTACAAAACGAATATAATATTTGTATAAAATATATTTTCAAAAAAATAATAAAAGGGAGTGAAAGGTAGTGAAATGTGACAATTTCCTGTATTTTGGTGAAGAAAATGAGAGTAAGAGAAAATTGGCGTGACACTCAAAAAATGAAAGATCTTTCCCATACACACTTTATGGTATAAATGACAAAATTATGAAACAGTGTGACCGATGTTTTAAAAACCGGTTTTTTAG